TCACTTTGTCGCTTTGTCGCTTTGTGCACAATAAATTCAGCCACATAATATTGAAAATTCGCAGCCAAGGGTCCCAGCTCTACACCACCGAGTGTTGAGTTATAAAACGTAATTGAGGTTGTATTTCATGCCAAATGGTTGCTCCGTTCGGGGCCCAATCCCAATGGCAGGTGGTTTTCGGTACGTACCCTGCATGATAATCACATTTATGCTCTGCAAAATCCCATAAGCTCTGGCAGAAAAACAATGACGATGACACGAACAAAAACTCAGCAGACATGCAGACAGGCAGACAGAGCGTCATTGGATATGTTTTAAATTTCAATATTCCATCAAGATTTATTCTATCAATTTTGGGGCCATAATAACAAAGATATATTGTGTACTTTAAAAGAGCTTTTACACCAACACATCTCACAGACGCTGTGTTTTTCAAATCCCCCAAAAGATTAAAGGCGTCTGCAGAGCTTTTAAGCTTAAAGCTTACTAATATATATGCAAATTTACTCACACTCACACACGCGCACACGTCAGCTGAACAGCTTGTCTCTTAATGCAATTAATATTAAATATTATTATGCTAATTTGCATTTATATTTATTGTATTAAATATGAAAGCATATTTTGTATTTATATTGATTTTGCTTTTTAACGCAATTGATTAAATATGGGTTTGCTTTAATTGTATTATTAATTTGCCATACATTGAAATATTTTAGCCCCATTCTTGTATACTGATTTTTATAACATTTATTGCTCTACCTGGTTATTACTTTGCTGGCTACACACACATGTGACAGCTTTAGTGGCCATTATCTGCCAGGTTATTCCAACTTAAACAATTCTCTTCTCTCCTCCCCATCAAAGACCATGCCTAATGTAAATTAATTGCCCATACAAATTAGCTGGGAAAACAAAAATGTTTCGATTTGGGCGCAGCAAAAATTGTTGCTACAAATGCGTTGACCAACGTATAATGCGCAATTTAGCGTGCTTATCAATTGTTATCGACTAATAGATACCCTATACTGTTCGCAATAAGCAAAAAAGAAGGGATTTACTTTTGGATTTTAAGTAGAAACTTCATTAAAATAAGATACGTGTTCGGCATTACCTGGAGATTTGAAGTCGTAGCTATTGGGTATTTGAAGCGGAAACAATAGCCCCATTATGAATGGGTATAAAATGGGCTATATCAGATTTGCCACGGCACCAATATACCCCTTACACATGGGCACTTTAGGCATTATACATCCACAGCAACACAGCCGCGTGGCAGGTAAACAAAAGCTCGAATGTTGCTCGTTATTTTTAATCAGTTATCAAAATTTATCGCTTTAAATTTGTCTGCCATTTTAGGGGGCGAGTTCTGGACTGTGTATATAGTATAGCTACACAGGATAGAACCGAAAACGCAATATTCGTGCCTGGCATTTTGTGTTTATTTTAATTTTGTGCGCGTTATTTTGTGTTGAACATTTACGCGAGTTTAATGAAGTTCGCCCGCAGTACCCAAGCCCTGCTGCGATACGGTCCACTCATATTGCATTTTCCCACTTGTTTATAGTCGAGAATATGTAGAGAACATTAAAGTTAATGGGCAAGCGCTGAACCGGCGACTATTCCACGCACAACAATATCCGGAAAAGCAACTGGAACAATGAGAGCTTATAAAACTAAGTTGAAATGCAATTCGATACTTTTTGGCTCGAAACTGAGCTAACAACTATTCGCCAAATGAGTAAACAGCCGCTGGGTCTGCTAAAATTCCACTGGCATCGCATTCCATCAACCATCCGCCCCGTTGTCTGCTCCGCTTCGAAGTAGAATTTTCGTATTATTCGCATTTTTCGCATTTTGTTTTGTTTTTGCCGAATAAATAGATTCATAAAAAGATTTCAAGCACTTTAATAACCAAGGAAATTGAAGATTATATTAAATTTGTTTCCATTTGCCACTCGTAAGTTGGAATACATATATTATATCCTCTAAATATTTTATTCCTCCTGGCTTACCTGCTCGCATTTTAATCGCTAAAATAATTGAAAGCACAACAACCCGACGGCCAATCCCAGCCGGCGGCAATGACAACGTGGTCTGCCTTACAATTAAAGTCGCCATGGCGCCAGGTGCTGAAACACCGAGGTGGGGGCTAATGGAAATTGACGGGGGCAATAACATTTACTTAGCTTGACTCTCCGACACACGGATTCAATTAGAAATGAAAGCCATTTTATAATTGAAACGAGCCTGCCTGCCAAGCCACGCCCCAAGCGTAGACGCCCACATCCGACATCCTAAAGCTAAAGATGAAATGAAATGAACATCAATATTCTGAGCAACAAAAATTAACAAAGTAGGGGAATTCCATGTAGCTAATGATAATAGTTAGTTAGGGTTCTGGCCAGAGGAGTAAGAGGCAGAGAGAGAGAGAGAAAGGGGGAGAGATATGATTATTCATTAGACTCCACATCATGTAATTGAAAAGTTTTTTGACATCACTGCCAGGACTCACGTTGTCATCATCAGCATCCTGAAGCAACCCGAACATCATCTTCAAGCTAAAGACAAAGCCCGTCGCTCAATTTGTCACTCGCGCGAGTGGGCGGGCGGGCGAGGGAGGCGTGGCGCGGCGTGGCGTGGCGTGGCGTGGGGCACTGACTGATGATGCGTGTGACTAAGCAGAAAATTTTCAGCATTGGCTCCCCAGTTTCACGATTCCGTCTGCTGCCTGCGACAGCCAACAGACAAGTCCCTGTCCCTGTCCCGGTCGGGAGATATACCCCCCTCGCTCCCTTATTCTTCCTTCTGATTATGATTGAGTTGACGTCGTTAATATGTTATCGATGATGACGTCGAGCGCTCCTCCATCGGGAGGGAAGGCAGCCTCCCAACGTGCCAGCGAGTGTTTGCCAAGCGCTCGCGACTACTTGGACTGAAAGGAAGCTGAGGGGAGCTGCTTGTCTCCTGCTGCTGGCTGCTGGCTGCTGGCTGCAGGCTGTTTGTCTGCTGCTCCATTTAAATCAGTTACATTCCTCGCAATGTCAACACAAATACACACAAGGGACACACACCCCCACACACATAGCCGCACACACATGTGCACTTACATTTTGTTATTTGTCTTTTGAATTATTAATGAACTTGCTGAATGGCATTGGCTTCAGCTTCAGCTTTTGGGCTTGGGCTGTGGCTGTGGCTGCCTAGCAGGGATCTGAGCTGCAGTTGACGTCCTGATGATCTGGTTCTTAATCAAGTGAGTCGTCGCCTGGCGTATCCTTGCGGCGGCCGCTCTCATCTCAGATAAGTTTAATTAAATCCCTGCCACACTTCGCATTCCACATTCCACATACCACGGCTGCACTTTTGCCACGCCCACGGCTGCGTTGACCGCGCATTGCAAAAGTTTAAGCAATTTTCCATAGCCGTGGAACAAGAGTGAACGAAAGCCAAAGAAGTGGAAGCGGCAACAAAGTTTTCTGATTTCGATTTTTATTGCGGCCAAAAAACCCAGAAACAGTTCCCAATCTGCAGCCATGGAGATTGGAGAGGGTAGCAGGAAAAAGAAGGGGGGAGGAGGACAGGTGGAATTGGAGGTCGGTTTCTTGGCAACAATTTCATTTGGAGGCACTTGACTGCCGCTCTTCCTATTTCCCTCTCTTCCCTTCCATTTGCATTTGCATTTCCATTTCCATGCCAACTCTTGACTTTCCACCTGGCCAACTGTTTTGACTTTGGCTCTGGTTCTAACTGCACCTGGAATTCCATTCGCGTAGCTGCACGCAAGCAGCAGAAGGCGTGAGCACGAGTAGGGCAGGGGCGCAACCACTTCAACCACAAAATCTACACAAACATTTTTGCAAACAAAAAGTTTATCCCATTTTTCTCGTTTGCCCTCCCAATGCCCACTGAATTATTAAGAGCAGAGAAACACACGAAATATTAACAGGAATTTATTAAAACATCAGTTGAAGCAGCACATGTGAGCTTCAATCAAAAGAGGAACTCCTGCTGTTCCCTTTCGCCTTTCCCACTAGAAGTGTTGGACTATTCTCGAAGCTGTTAATCTTTTTTCAACTTTGTAATTACTTTTGCAGGCAGAAAACTTTCTTTGAGCTGCACATTCACAAATTATTTTCGAAACAAACATCCAACAAAGCCACTCAACCACAGCACCACACACTCCTCTTACACACACTCTCGCACCACACACCAGAGAGTGTCACAGACTCTGCATCTTCTGTCCGAAAGTCAACTAAATCACTTTCTATTCAACAGGACTCTGCTTGGAACGACGAGTCTAGCAGACGGCACAAAAAGGCCACCAGCACAAGGAGGACAACCAGGACACGTGCTCGACACCAACAACTGGCGCTAGCCACTGACCAGCGGGCGAGATGTTGCCAACGTGACGAGCTGAACCACCAGCAGCCGGAGCGAAAGGAGGTAGCCAAGGGGGGAAGAAGTGGCCAATAAAAAAGCTAACGAAATGCTGATGCCGCTTGCAGTCGACAGGCGAACTCGGCAACAACAACAACAACGACAGAAGCAACCGCATTAAAAACAAAACTGGAAAAGTTGAACGCAGTCCGTAGAAGGGGACAGCCAGAGGAAAAGTTCCAAATTTGCCAGACAGAGTCCACGTAGAGCTGCTCGTCGCTTTGTGGCCGCATCCGGAACTGTGAACAGCAGTTGCTGTTGCCGGAATTTGATTTTAACGCATTTCTCAGAGCCGCGCCATATCAAAACCGAGCTCAGGCCCAAACGGAAGAGTCTCGTCTGTGCCTCCGGAAATTTCAATGGCAACACATTGAAATTGGCTGTCACAGAGCCAAAGGGGAACCCCACTCCACGTGGGAGATCCGTTGGAATGAGCGCCAATTGTGGCGTCACATGCACTGACAAGCTATTAACTGCACGTCTGCCACCCAAATAGGCATCCCCATCACATAACAGTTGAAACCGAAGAGGAAGAAGAGGAAGTGCTCCTCATGCTAAGTATGGCCGCCAGCCGCAGCTCCCTGCTGCAGCTGCTCTGGATCTCTTGGATCACTTGGCAGCTACCTTTGGTCAGCGGATATCTAAACATTTTTATCAGCCACCACGAGGTGATGAAACTGATGGGTAAGTCCACATGTGGGACCTATTTCTGAGAGGGAAAGTATGTTTCGATTTGAAAGTAATCGTTGGGACAGTTGCTCGAAGTTCGAGACACACCTCCGACCCCGCCCCACAAATATGATTAATAGTTGAATGGCAAAGTGCGACAGGACAAATTCATTGCTCCTCAACAGGGAAAACAAACAAGCCCAATCAAGGAGGGGTAAGGCGTAGGCACAGACCACGTCGCAGTCATTAATAGTTCCAAAATAATTGTTGACCATGACGACGACGACGACGACGACGACAACGACGTCGAGAAGAGGAGGAGGTGGACGACCACAAAAGTTACGCGAAAACACGACAAAACAAATCCACACAAATCGATTTCCGGCTGTAGCCGGAGCCACCCTCGCACCTTCACCTTCGCCTTCACCACCCTGTTGACAGCTGCAAGTGGCTGCCCGCCATGCTTAGCCATCCCTCCCCCCGCTCCCATTTTTTCCCTCTCCCCCTGCTGATAACGACTTCACAGACCGGTGCGGCGCATTTTGTTGTTTGTTTTGCTGTTTTCCCGTTTGTTGCTCAACGCGAGGCCTCGTTATTGATGGCGCCAGCTACTCAAGTGCCTCCAGATCGACCTTGTGCCAGGCCTCGCCCCTACCCAATCCGTATCCTCGAAAATAGTTACAGTAATAGGCATTCATTCGGCGTGCCAAGGCGGAATGACGTCTTGCCCGTTGCGTTCTTTTCCTCATGTTGATTAATGGTTCATGGCTCCAAAATGTGAGTCGGGGCGGTTCCAATTCGCCCTCCGACTCCCTTTACCCACCAGTCCATCATTCTTCCGCTGTGCTAGCTGTGTACAGCATTTTCCGGCACTTAAGTGTAATTGGAGCAAAATGCTTCCATCTCATTATGCAGGCTCAATCCTAGTCCTAGTTCCCACTGCCACTTCTTCTGGTTGCTCCTAATCGCCGAATCACGGCACTTCAATTAGTTGAACAGCATAAAAATAATCCACACAAGGTCCGCTCGAGGCGCAGATTGATGAATGGGCAGACAACTTTGAACTGCAACTGTCGCCATGTTACTAGGTCAGCTACTCCACCTCCCCTTCCTTGCCTCCCTCTCCTTGCTTTGCCTGTATTCAGTACTCCCCTTTCGTTCTGCACTTCTTGCTGAGACTGCATTCGAGTGTGCTGAGCCATGAGCTGCTCGCCCGAGCAATTGACACTTCACAAAGCGCGGCCCTTGGCTCCCTCTGACCCCTGGCATCCTTCAATGCAAATCGGATTTCATTAGCGACAACTCAAAGAATCTTCCACTTTGTTTGTTGCTCTTTGTAATTTCCTGTGCTATGCGCGATTTCCAGAGATTCCATCTCTCACTTCCTACAGATACCCTCCTTCTGTTCCCCTTCTTCTTTTCCACCCCATCCACAGAGCTCGTTATGTTTTTAACGACCAGTTAACAGCCCCTCCTTCATAATATTTGCCACCCTCTGGCACAGTTTCCATTTCAAAATTAACAAGCAGCTTGGAATCAAACAAACTGACCCGTCCAACTCCCTCCACTCCCCCTTCCCATCCACAGCGCGACATGCCGTTGCATGATTTATTTTCAGGTCCCCTCATCCTTCTCCGCATATGTCTCTATGACTGTTTGTTCATGTGGAAGACGCGTCATAGTTGCATGACCCCATACCAAACCCAAACCCGAACCCAAGCCCCATCTCTCTCTCTGTTTCAGTTCCCTTCTCCTCTTCAAACACACGCATTTCTCGAATAACTTCGCTCTCTGGCAGTCCTCTCATTGCTGGCTGCCTGTGATTGACATGATGTATTCCGGCAATAAAAATCGAGTACACAGTTCCCCTTTCCCGCCTCGCCTTCGCACCCTAGATTCCCGTTACAATCTGAAAGTTTGTTCCATAAAGCGAGCTGTAAACATGAGTTAAACGATTTCTTTTCTAGCTGCTTCTAACTATACTTTTATATACATATATCTCGATACCTTTTCCCTCGATGGAGTGACGACAACATTAAAATTAAATATTTTTTACGCTTTTGTTGAAGATTTTCCGCTCTGCCTTCCAGCGAGTCGCGTTTCCCCAGCAACGAGCAATGTTCGTCCCAGAGTTGCCAGCGACACCAGCGTCAGCCACCAGTTGGGGAGGGTTGCCCCACCCCCACGTCCACCCCCAGCCCCTCAATTTCTAGTGCTCGCTGTGCAAGGACGCGTAAAAATGCAATTTCAACAAGTTTCACTTTGATGTGCACATTTCTTGAGCCCGAACAGAACCCCACAAGAAAAAGGACCTTTCTAGGTCTAGAGCTTTCTCCCACCTTATGCTCCGAAATTTCCCTTTAAATTAAAAGTTAATGCAAAAGAAAATTATTTTTAATGAATAGAAAACAGCCCGAAAATCGCCACATTAATAAGGCAACCCTCGACCTTCTACTCCCCTCCCTCTAGTTTTTAACAGGGTGTTTTGGTGTCGATTTGCTTTATTGCTGAGTAAGGCGAAAAATGTTGGAAAAATAAAGAGAAGAGGGAAGGTGTGAGAGATTTTAAACTGTGCCAATTAAATACCGAACTCGACTCTGATTCACAGCAAAGGGATAAGCCCTGTCGAGGTGTCATTTGGAGAGGAGGAGAGAGGCTAGCGACTAGGTCGACAGTCAGGATGATAATTTCAGAAAATGCACGTTGCACTCCTTCAAAGCGGCTGCCAGCTAATGACACTAATTATCCTCTTAATCTTTTATGCAAATTGTGTGCTGCCATTGTCAAAGCCGACCCAGACTCGGTCCCCCACCCTCAGTCTCGCCCACCAAAGCCTTCCTCTCCGGTTCCACCTCCTGCTCTGGCAGCGTCTGCGGTTGCAGCGTCACGTGTGTGTGGCGAAGCCATTCAGACAATCGCAGGTATTATAATTATGCTAGAGAGGCAAGCAGCAGGGGGACCCGAGGAAACTTACTGGGACAAGGCAGACTCCTGAACGAGCCAAAACTTTCCCAGGCGACGGCAAAGTTGCAAAGCGCTGTGCAAGGCGCGTGATATGAAAGACGACCAAAGTTCGACGGAGCAGGACTTGGGACCGTAGCCAAGTTGGGTGTCCTCCTTATCTCCAGAAACAGCGTGCTTAGATGCAGAACGAAAACGAACTCACGGAAATTAAAGATGCTTTCAGGTTGTGGCTTAAATTCGCCAAAGAGGCCAATCGAAAAGTTGAAAGTCTCTTTGAGAGTGAATCACATCCGTTTTCAATCAGAACTGAATTAATTAAGCCTGACACAAGTGCATTCCCTCTCCCACTCCCATTCCCTCTCCCAATCCCGTTACGGTTACAAGTCCTCACTTCTACCTCTTGGGGCACCCTTTGGCATTGTTGTCCTACGACGAACTCGGGCTGAGTGACATTGTCCTTTTCGTGTGTTTGTGCATATTTAATGTGAGTCACTTTGAGGTTATATTTGTGTTTTTTGTTTAGTCTGCCGCGCATTCCCCTAAATGGATGAATAACGAGGTAGCTGCAGCTCCTCTACTCTCATGCCATCCCACGGCAGAGAACTCTGCAGTTTGTCAGCGGAAAGCGGGAAACGTAAAAGAAAAGTAGTACAGTTTAAGTAGCCTGTGGGAGCCGCAGAGTCAGCGGGGTGCATAATAATTTCGAATTCAAAAACAAAGTGAAACTGTAAAGGAAAACGGCGTAAGAATTGGGGAAGTTCTTAGACAAGCCATGAATAGAAGGAAGCAAACGAAAAATGCTTTCTCTTGTTCTGTAATTGGATTTGAAATTGTTTTAAGAATCGCGCAAGCGCCTTTTCTTCTATCCTAACTGCACGCACAATCACATACGCGCTTCTCGCTTCTGCCTCCACCGGAAACGCAACACTCAACATCCGGCACAGACGCACAGTGAAAAGGCTGAAGGCAGGGAGGGTGGAGTGGAGAGGAGGGGAGGACTGGCAGGCGAGTTGAGGAGAGTAAACAGCATTTGCGACTTTCAATGCAAAGCAAGGCCAAGACGTTTGCGGACGCGTCTTAGTCTGATCCCAAAGAGGAAATGATGCAACATAAAGCAGCCCAGTAAGAGGCGGAGAAGGCAGAAGGGAGAGTCAGGCAGAGACAACAATGAAAGCGGATGAAGAAATTTAATTTCACGTCTTTTTAACTTGAACAGCTCGTCTTTCACTGTCAGAGTGGTGGGGGGCAGAGGCTTAGAGCTCCCAGGGTCGGGGTCAGAGATTAGGACGTTCGCGTAGCTAGTTAAAGTTACACAAAGCGAAGGATGATGATGATGTTGCTGCTGTCTCGTCTCAAATCGAGTTAGACAACACTTGACACCTTTTAATATTTGGTCTCACCCCCTTCGAGTCCCGCTGCTCCCCCCGGGCGCCTGTCGGGCGTCATTCGAGGCAACCCGAGAGCGAGAACCAATTGACGCCCCGTGCATTGTCGCCTGCTGGTGACGGATTCGATTTCGATTATTATTGTGTCTTGGGTTTTGTTTACCAAACTTGGCTCACCCGCTGCAAGCCCGCTGCCACCCCCTGTTGTTGAGTTGTCGAGGAAATCAATTTCCGTTGAAGCTCAAAGGTAGATACAGTTGCAGGGGGAAAAAGGGGGAGAGTCATCAACTGCGGGGAAAATAAACACAGCATGCACAAAGTTTGCACAGCAGTAGAAACTCCAAAGAAGGGACACCAAGGGGAAGGTGTAACAAAGCAAATTGTGAAATAAACTTTGTCTTTATGCCTGCAATGCATCCGCCACCCAATCTCATCCTCCATCTATTCGCGTTCGCAGGACTGGAGGCGGATTTGTTCTACGTGCACGAGGGAGCCATTAACACATACGCGATGCACTTCACCGTTCCCGTCCCGGCAGATGTGCACGAGCTGGAGTTCTCCTGGCAGAGTCTCATTGCTTATCCGGTAAGCCACCCGACCCTTTCCCCCTTCCATCCAGTTCACTTCAAATTTGATTTGCACTCCATTAACTGGCTATTCCACTGGTAGCTGCGCTACACAATCAGCATCGAATACGCCAACGACCAGGACGCACTGGGTACACCCACGCTGAGCATTCCACACAAGGGTCTGGTGCCGCAGGAGATCGAGTCCTTCCTGGTTTACCTGCCCTGCACTGGCAACGCAAGCCTTCAACTGCCGGTCAATGTCAACATGGTAGTGCAGGGACCTCCCCGCTTCAACGACACTCGGCTCCACTTCAAGCGCAACAAGATCTGTGCCAAGGGTACGTAACCATTCCTTCCGATCTCCGACTGTCATTCGCAAATTGTCCGTACCCGTTCCCATTGCAGGCATCTCACCCGAACCAAAGCAGTCGCCGGCCCCAGCCCACGCCCCTTCCCAGGGACCGGCTCTGATGAGCGCCGCTGCCTGCGCTCTGGGCCTGGTTTTAGCCGTAGGCCTCGTGGCCAGCATGATGTATGTGCGGGCTCGCAAGCAGCTGCGCCAGGACTCGCTACAGTAAGTCCTATTGATTGGTCCATCAATTCAATTAGCTTCCTACAGTGAACCTTTCATTTGTTACATTCCCTTCCCATTTCATTACCACCAGCTTCACTACAGCGGGTTATGGCAGTCATCAGAATGTGTTCATTCGCCTTGATCCTTTAGGTCGACCGCCGAGTGCCACCGGATCCTACGCGACCATTGCCAGCCTCAATAAATATCCAGCGGAGAGCAAAAAGTCGTGCAGCATATTCGACCGTAAGTTATCCGTCCTCTTCCTAGTCCCATCGCTTACTTATCGATCCCCAAACTATTTATTTCCCTACAGGGTTCCGCAGCTCGCCCACACCTACACCCTACGCCACCGCCCTGCTGCCAATAAGAGACCAGGGTGGAGAAACCATTTACTCAAAGCCAGAATCCGTCTGTCCCTCGAGAATATCCTACTACGCCTCCTCCCAGCTAACCCAGGTGAGTTCCAATCGCTCTGATTTTGTGGCTGCACGATTTTCCTCCTGTGGGTTGATTGCAGCAGGCAACTGCCCTCAGGTAAACCAATGCCTTTGATATGTTGTGACACGTGCCATGCGCCAGGCATAAATGAAAATGAATCCCGTTGAAGTTTAGCCTGCAATGGGTCGGTCGGTTGCCTAGGCCACCAGATCCAGTCTGTTGCCAATTTTCGGCACTCACCAGACCAGACGATTGCTCCCAAGGCTCCCATGATATCCAATGCCCAACTCGAGCCACCTTTCCACGGCGATAAAAATTAAATTCTAATTTATATTTACGAGCTGATAAAGCTCCCGAAGTGCGTTAAACTCGAAACAAGAGCCATTCATAAATATGCGCGCGCCAGGGTGCCAGCCAGCCCTGTTCCTTATTTCAAGGGTTTTCTGTGGGTTGGGGCAAGTTTTGCCTGGCGCTCACGTACCACGTGTTGCGACCCACAAACCCACTGCCAGCAGAGTTGAATTACGGAGATACGCGTTCTTATATGTGAGAAGATAGGAAAGAGGGCTTGGGGTAAGCGTGTGAGTCTGTTCAGATAAGCGGATGGAGCTTCACAGTCGCAGACAAACAGGCAAACAGGCAAACACAGAAAGGAAAGCTTATACTCTGTTTACGCGACCGTTTGCTTTTCTTCCAGTTGGGAAACTAAATTTAAACTAACTAAAAGCCACAAATGAAGCCCTAAGAGGCAGCTGTTAAACATCGAGACTTGTCTGTACGAACCCCAAATTAATTTTATGATACCCTACAAAAGTTTTTTCACATTTGTCCCTCTCTGGCATCCCTTCCCGTTCTGTGGAAATCCCTCTGACATTTTAACTTCTTGGCCTTGGCAAATCTGTCGCAAATTAGAATAAATTATTTAGCAGCTTCTTTTCTCGTTTTTCTAGCTGTAACATTTCACAGACCCAAGCGGCGTCAACGTTTACATTTTTCGTAGACAACAAAGTGTGCCATCTCCTCTCGCTATCTTTCCTCCGCTCTGTCGCCATTCTCGTGATTGCTTGGGCCATTTTCGTCACCATCTTCAAACGCAATTTCCATCGACGCATAATTAAATATTCAATTTCCATGGAGACTCCTTTGGATTTTTATTTGCTGCATATTGCTTAACATTCCTCCAGCTGCTTCCTTACTTTGTCCTGGCATACTCTGTTTGCCCAAACGATTTCTGTTTGTTTAGACTTCAATTTCGTCCTCATTATGGCAACCGTTTCGAGCCATTTGACGGGGGCTTCCGGTGAGCAGCCACAGTCATGGCTCGTTCAAGGCACTCACATGGATTCACATAGATATCAGGAATATCTGGATGTCTGGGATATTACACAATGCCAAGAGTCGTATCCATTTGCCGCTGTCTACTGATAGGACTCACTTTCCAAGGGGGCGATGGAGAGTTAAATGAATTTCAACAAAAGTTGAGCCCCAAATAGCATATGCCTCTGTCTGAAGAGCGGGGGTAGTTCTGGGAGGGGGTGTTTGCCATAATTATTGCTGTTCTCTTATCATAGTCAGTAGCCACTCTCCTATTACACACTCGTATGAGTATTTGTGAGCGTTAAGCGAAGTGAAGCACTAAGCAAAGTGAATGGAGGGAAGCCGTGGGCCGGCAGCGGGGCGACGCACTCATTTAGTCAAACAATTATATCCAAGTGCACACACTGAAATGTTGTCGGCACTGATCTGCTCACTTGTGTGGAAATATCTCATTTGTGTGGGGCTCCTTTGCCCCAATCCTCGGCCTCACTCCACTCTCCTGTCTGGTTACTCTCATTCCAACCACTCCCTTTTGATTCTATTAAATCAGTCTATAAATGTTGGCCAAATTGCTTTAATGTGCAGCGAAAGTTTAGCTAACGGCTGTGGGGACTACAACAATTACAGCACAAGAGGAAGGGACGAGGTGGAGGACAGAGAAGGGGAGAGGCCTGAAGAGTGGGGTAAATAACAATAAAAACAGCAGCGAGCAGAAGCCAGACTACAGCTGTTGAAACATGACTTTGTGCTTGTTTAGAAACACTTGCAAAATATTATTGCAAGAGTACGGTGGGAGGAGGGGAGGAGAAACCGCTAACTGCGGGGGTCAGAGTGGAAGCCGGTTCCTAGACCAGATACACGCCATGTGCAGCGCCAAAGCGAAGCAAACATAGAAAGGCATTAGGATATTGGATCAGAAGTAAGCTCACATAGACTTTGGATGGAAAGGGAAGGGGGGAGGTGGGGCGTAAGTGGCTGCTGCGGTTGAAGATGTCGAGCAAGTTCATGAAGCGAATGGGTTAGAAGGCGACACAGCAGCCACCTCCAGCTCCACGCTACGCGACGCATTCGAATGGCATCATTTGAGGACAAACTTGGAGAAGTGCGTGAGCCAGCGAAGCGAAGGAAAGGAGGCAGAGATGGGGAGGAGCATAGATAGCGCAAAGTTGGAAATTAATTTCCATGGAGCACGCCCAGACTAGAGTATTTTATGGAGATTACGAGGGAGATTCGTGCAACCCGAACAGGTGCTAATTAAAAATGTTGTCGTCGCCTCATTAAAGAAATTTGTAAATCAACCTGCAAAGGACGCGCGCAGCATGCGAAAAGTTAAGCCTAGGCCCAAGCAAAGTGAAGAGGACGAGGAGGGGGTGGGTAACCCGACAACTGTCCCCCTTTTGGGGCAAGCGGAGCAACTGGGGTGCGGCACGTACGCCGTTAATGGATTTTCCACTGTTGTTCTTTTGATTAAAACGCATTATTTACATTTGCGACAAAGCCAAAGAAGGGGAGGGGGGTTGGGGGGTGAAAGAGGGGTGGGGGGTACATATTAATGCGCGACGGGGCTTAAGTCTGGTCAGGTGAGGGGCGTGGATCAGCAGCAGGGGGTCGACTCGCCCTCGACAAAGGTTGACAAATTGCACAGCTGTCAGTTGATGTTAGTTCACTTTTTGCATTTCTTTGCCCATCATTTTGTTTTTTTTTTTTTGGTGCCTAATCTAAATTTGCTCCTGCCCGATCCGATTTGTGCAGGTCCTGTCAGTCTAGTGCCAAACTATGGCGGATGCTTTTGTCTGCCATTACACTATTGATTACTTCCTGTCAGCCGCAGAGAGACAAACGGAAGTTGCCAGCGGATGTTGCCTTTGTTGCTTGTTGCCTGTTACCCAGTTAGCCTGTTATCCTGTGAGCCTGGCCAGGAGAGAGCGAGCGTTTCGGCTGACCAACATGGGCTTTGTGTGGGATTTGGCCGGCCGCAGTGCAGCACTTCACATAAGCAGCTTCACCAGCCGCTCTGCCCCTGTGGTATTAAATGCTGCTGCGAACAGCGATCCGGAGACACCATGTGCCCGCGGTTTTTACACCCTCCACTGTGTGTGCTTTCTAATTGATTTTTTTGTGGTCAAGTTGCGTTCGCTCTGAACTTAAAGGGGAGCCCATTAATCCCATTGTAACTGTCGATGACAGGGCTGGGGGCGGGCACTCAATGGGATTGACAATTGTAATGAGCCAAAGGCAATGATAAGCAAACTGTAATTGAAGACAAGAGTCAATAAACTGGGTCAAAAGGTGCACTTGGCGTCCTGCCCGGAATGCGAATGGGGTCAAAACTTTAATGACTCGGTTCGCATTCGAGTGTTTAAGCAGCTCTTCCATTAGAAAATGAATGAGAACGTGTGGAACGGGCAATTAAAAGGCACTTCTTGATTGCTTAATTCTCCCCATTAAAGCGAATGCAGTGCGAGGCCAATCGAAATGCGATTATAACTGACATGTTTTCATTCAGTATTCATGAGTATACTCATGCTCGGCTACCGGACATATACATGGATACCCATCAATCAATTCTGAATTGCCGTTGAGTCATATTACATACGTGTATACGAAATGCTGCCAAACTAATTGCATCAAAGAACCGGCCGGGCGCCCGATGCGGCGCGCGGAAATTCGAGTGGACTCCAACCGGATGTGCAACAAATTATATTATGGCAGCCACTGAAGCAAAACCCAATCAACGGCCAACTACCATATCCAACTGGGAATAACGTAATGGAGAGCGCGAATCGGCCAAATTGGTTGTTAATCATATGAATTCAGCTTGATTGCATACAATAATGCCTCAATAGATAGAGTGTAACTTGAACAAAGTGAGGCGCAGCTAACTTAATGAGTGCATTTACATATTCCGTGCTGCCAGATCGCTGAAAGTTTTAAGTTGCACGTAAGTGCAAGTGTTCCTATGGACTATGAATTGACGATCATAACTGCGAAGTACATGTTAATCAGAAGCTTTTGTATTGTCAATAGTCGGTTCAAGCTCAATTTAATACACTGAAGTAGTTGCTTGGTGCTGCCAGATCGCCAAAATGCTTACAATTTTCTCTGAATAATTTACTCTAAGGGACTTTAAGACCTTGCCAACCACAATGGAGCACAGGCATATTCTACAAATTGATATATAAATGCGTGTAGCCCCTATTCCCGCGTCCCGCCATCTATGCTGCCATGCCGCCCACTGACACGCCCAGCGTGAGGCAACGTGACACCTGGTGACTAATTTATGTTCATTAAGCAGGCGTTAAGTTGCCTTGAGAGCAGCTGCCGCCGTCCTCGTTGGCCCTCATTTGCATACATTTAGGCGCTGTGCGGGGAAGGTGGGTGTTGGGAGGGTGGAGGTGGCCATGCGAATGCCGAAAGCGGCGCACAGCACAACACAACAGAACACACAAAGCACACACACATACACATAGAGAGCTGATTACTTGCTGCGCGCCGAGGTGACAAACCAAAATGTGTAGTTTCATGTAATTTTGGGATCGTTGGAGCGGCTGCTCCTGGCCAGATTAATATGCAAATGCATGCTGGGAGAGGGAAAGGTAGGAAAATAGAGCGAGGGAAAGAGAGCGAAGCGCTTTAAGCACAGATTACGCGCGTGTAGAAAGTAGCTGGTGGAGTGCAAACCGGCAACTGGAAACTGGCAACTGGCAAATGGTGAGGTGAAGTAGACACAAAAAATCAATTTGCAACACGCGTCTCGACGTCCTCTCCTCCTCTTCCTTTTCTTGCACTCTAATTTGTGTGTAGTGCATTTTCGTGTCCATGTCCGGAAATGGCGAGAATTAAGGCCAAAGCAAAGAAAAGTGAAGCTTTACCAGTGCGACACACACACACAGAGAGAGAGAGAGGAAATGTGGCAAAGCTTTGAGCTTGTAATCAGCTTGAGAGCTCTGCTGCTCGAAAACCCATTTGGCAGCTTTAAATGGATGGGAGAATGGGGTATGGGGGTTAAGGAGCTGCTGTGCATAAAAACCCGCGCACAAATCCCATCAAATCTATCAAAATCATTTACGCAAATCTCACGACAAAACAGAACAGCAGCAGCAGAAGCAGGACTCAGGCTGCGGCCCGGGACTTAGGTCAGGCGCCATCAGTGTCAGCTGCGTTTGGATTTGGAGTTGATCCAATCAACGATCCACGGGCGAAGCTTTATTAAAAAGGAGCAAAACTGTTCACACGCCACCCAAAAACAAGGCGCCAAAAACTGACAGCAACATCCAAGGAGAAAGGGGGAGTAGGGAAAGAGAGGGGGAGCTGGCGCCTGAGGCAGACAGACTGGCAGTCAGTCAATTGTAGTTGTAGTTGCGTGGCTGTTGCTCAAAGTTTTAATTACACGTTCGATGTGCCAAGACCGGGAATCGGGGAATCGGGGAATTGGGAGATTGGGACTGCAACGGCAACTGAAACTGGGAGATTGCCCGCAGCAACAAGACCAGCAACATTTTTGGCTTGACTTGGCTTGGACAGGCTGTTACGCCTGTTTGAGCTCGGCAATTGGTTGCTTCGTTTCTGCTGGCTGCAACCAGTTGCTGTTGTTGTTGCTGCAGCTGCTGCCGTGTTTCGCATTTGCCTGGCGACAAAGATTTATCACCTAGAACAGACCAAAAGGACGCAGGCACAACAGCAGCAACAAATCAACATCGATGGTTGCCCAAAAAGTTGACAGGGGGTTGCTGAGTGATAAAACAAATAGACCAAGGCTTAAAGGCAAATCCTGGGTAGGGTTTACTTCGGCAATTATAACTTGCAGGAATTGGAGCTATAGTTATGTTTATCTCAGTAATTCCCCTAACTATTTAGGTTGGCGTCTGTAACTTTTAAAGCAGCCCACTTAAAAATCGCACCACGCGGTCTGTTTCCAGCTGCAGCTTGTGTGGGAGCAGCAGCTCGTGGGTGGCCGCTTTTTCGGCACGGTTAGCTACATTGCCGGAACTGGGCGGGGGGAGCGAGGCACATTGGTGCGCGGTTTGTCAGCTTGGCGCGCTGATGATGGAGTGCGGCATTGTTGCATTTTAATTGAAATTTCTTTGTGAACTTGCCGCAACAAGAACAACGCGACTAACGAGAGTGCAGAACAGCGACAACAACAACATAAACGTGTCGCCAGCAATCACACAGCAAAACAACAACAACAACAACGCCAAAGTAGCAATAATAATGAATGAATAAAACGAATAACAACAACAACAGCAACAATTGCTGTGGGCCTTTATTGCTGTTGCTGTTGCTGTTGTTGCTGCTGTTGCTGTTGTTGCTGCTGTTGCTGCCGTGTTGCAGCTGCCCATTGACGTCGTGCGCAATGACAACCAGCGCCAGCCAACTATATTGAGGTCGGGCTTGGGGTCGGTGTCGGGGTCGGCATTGGGCGCCTGTCGGAGCAGGGGGGATAAAAGGGGGCAACAGGCGTCGGCAACGTTTGCTTTTTTGCGGCACAACGCAAATATAATAATAAATTTCGCATATTGCTGCCGCTTCAGCTATTATTTTTCATAAATGAAACTGTTGTCAATGGGATGTTGCTGCGGTGATTCTTGTTGTTATTGTTGTTGTTGTTGCTGCTTTTGTTGCTTCTGCTGTTATTGCTGTTGCTGTTGCTTGCTGGTTGTTTGGTTTTTGTCACCGCTTTATTGTTTTTACCACCCACAGGCTGAATGCCTGGCATTGCGGTCACTTTATTGTTTGCCGGATATGGCCAACACAGTTGCCGCTGCAAAAAGTGGCAAGGCTCAGTTGCACAGAGAGAGAGAGAGAGAGAGAGAGAGAGAGAGAGAGAGAGAGAGAGAGAGAGAGCGAGAGAGAGTGAGAGTGAGAGGTGCTTGCGGTGTTGGTTAGAGCCGTCGGCTGGCAACCACGTAATTTGCCGTCTGATGAAGATTTACGACATGAAAGCCGCAAAATAAACGCCGAAAACACACACAGTAAAGCACATAAAGCAAAAAGCCAATAGACTAGAGGGGACAAACCTCCACTAACTACCCGCTCCTGCTACCCTTCCACCAAATCTCCGAACTCTACATGATGAATGCGCTGGGGCGCACCAAGACGTCAACCCTATCGAGCCGAGGCCGTGCTGTAGTCTCCTACGAGTGGACAGGCTCTTGCTGCTGCTGGCCATTTATGTAAATTAAGCAACAAAATGCACAGATTTGTCTTCTGTTTATTAGCCAAGATATGGCTCTACCCCAGGCCATAACTGACACGCAGCCCAAGCAAAATAATTGCAATTGGACCCAGGGGATGGCCCAAGTTGAAGTCAAAGAGAAAGTTGTCCACTCGCCTCACTTGCTCTGATGAAAACAAATTATGTGCGAGTTCTTCACTCGAGGCTACTCAAATAAGTGGGAGTGCCACGCCCACAACGCATAGATACATACGTAGCCAAATATCTGCTCTTAATGGAGGCCCTATTAGCCAAATAAGCAAGGCTGAGTGGGAGGCTGATTAGGAACACAACTTCTCCAACAGCCTCTCGCCTGCTCCTGCACCTCCTGCTGCTGTTAACCCACATCGTCTGCTTATGAATACTTTGTCCAATAAATAATTCATGCTGCAAGTAAGTTGTCTGCCCGGAAATGCCGCCCAGAGTGAGCCTCAAGTGGCCAAGTGGGCGGGCGCACTCAACGGATGTGGACGATTCTGAATGATGTGGGAACACGGGTGTCGGATGCGAATGCAGGCAGCGAGCAGCGAGCAGTGGGCAAGAGAGAGAGAGAGAGAGCGAGAGAGAGACAAAGCCGGAATCAGTCGTACAGACGGCCACACAAACGGATATGTAATGCAATTCACGAAACCAAATGAACGGTTTAAGGAGCCTGGAAGCCGAGCTAAGCGGATCAAGGACTACACATGTTTCCAACTGGATAGGAAATGTGTCATGGCATGGGTGTAAATTAATGCAGACCATGTGCATTGACTCCAAACTGTATCAGTTGTGCTCAACATATTCCATTTGGAAATTAAGACCCTAATTGCAATTGTTTACCCGTCTCATTGTATTTATAATCTGCTCTAAAGTGGGAATTAACTGCAAGTTAGACAAACGCTCACGAGCTGAAAACATCACTTGAAGATAATTTTATTTGCCTAATTAAGCAGTCGTAAATTATCTAATAATCAAATCAATTATCTAAAATTTCTTAGCGAGGATTAAGCATAAAAAGGATTTCTTTTAAATACATATCAACTGCAGAAGTTGCTAAGATGCATTTAAAATTCACAACTGGTTCTGACTGCAGAATTTGCTAAGATGCATTTAACTGGTTCTGACTTTTCGGCCCACGAAAGATAACTTGATAAATACTCGCGCTGACTGACACTTGGATTCATTTATTATCACACCATGACCCTTAGGTAACTATACTCAAGTACACACACAAGTACTCTTATGCAGGCTAGTATAAAGTATAGTTGTATATCTAAATCTAGGAGTAGGTAAAATGCGGGCAAACGAACTGGTACAGTTAGCTAGTTTAGTTAATAGCTTTGGGCAAGTTGAGTGTTTGGTTTGGCTACTTAAATTGGCTAAATCAATGAGGTACACACGCCTTTTGTTTCGGCGCCGCATTGCGAGGGACTACTGTAGCTGGATGAGCACATGACCGGCATGCCGCTTGTAGAGCATTAGCGATATGTTGACCAGGAACGGGGCTGCCAGCCAAAAGATTCGTGTGCCAATACCCGTTGCCTCGCGATGGAATATGCCCGCGGCGCCGCCACGACCCGTATTGCAGAAGGACTCCTCGCAGCAGGATGTGCAGGCATAGAGCTTGGTGCGCTCACCTATAACAATGCAGCCGGGCTCACAGTTGACGGCGCATCGTCGATCCAGCGACCACATCTTTGGCGAACTCGTGGAGTTCTCTGTGCTGGTGGTGTACGAGAAACGCTTGACCTATTTGAAAAGGAGGAGATTAGAGAAATCCTGCTGGTAAGCAACAGCTCTTACCATGCAGATGAACTCCTCGCCCTGACACTTCTTCATTAGCGCCGTGCTGTTGCGCTCAAGGACATCTACGCAGGCCGGACCGTCGTCCATGGTATCACAGGCATAGCACCAGAGCTTGTTCACCCGCTCGATGGCCGCCGCCGTGCGATGAATATGCCCGCCGCTGGTAAGCGAGGTGCTCAGGCTGACTACCGAATTGGGTCCCGATCCGGGCGAGCTGGTGCCCGTGCCAGTCACTGTCCAATGAGATGCGCATCTTTATTGATTTTTCCAGCTGGGCTCGAAGGTCGCCGCACTTACCATTATTAACGCAGGCCGTGAACACAATGGAGCAGGAGGTGAGCACAAAGTAGGCGAGTGTGAGGAGAGCTCTGGACATGCTGTGTTGGCCGCCAACTGGGCCAATAAACGCCTTTCCAGCCAGTTAAACAACTTATTCTATAGACCCGAGCAGCCGCGAGCAGACTTTTGTTTATTTGGAAGAATAAAACGTTGTCGTTTGACAGCGAATGTCAGAATACAAAGAGCTGGCGACAATGACATGCGCAGTTCTGGCTAGCAAAGACACAAACCCAAGCGTATTTGCGGCGGGCAGCATAAACCAGTTGAGAATTATACGGAAGCTCTAAGAAAACCATGATTAAAATATGACACTCGGGAGAATTTTAACAATTATAAGATAATAAAAAACGGTTTGCTACAAAATAGAGGGAATCAGCAAATATTCTGAATATTCTTTCAATTCAATTTTGAATCGATGCCAACAAAACCCAGAAGAAATTTAACTAGAAGATACGGTATTTCAGCCGCTTGACCCACTATAATATTGCTGAATATTTATTGGGGCTAACATCAAAATTTTGCATAAAAACAACAATAAAATCTTTTGAATCTAGCCTCAGTAGAGGCGCAAATACTGTAGGGCCTGGCGGCACTGCATGGGGTAGAGTTCGCCTATATTATACATAAGGTCAACAATGTGTGTGGGACGCAGCATTCGCCAGGGCATAAATTTCAAGGTCTTCTTGTCGCAATGTATGTCCTTCTCCATTTCCAGAGGCAACGGCACTTCGTTGTACAGCATGCGACCGTCCACGCTGCGCTGCAGGGTGCAGGGCAGACCAATCTGATCGGCGAAGCACTTGAAGAGTATGGCACGCTCGAATTGACAGCCGCTGCGCACCTCGCCCAAGGGTATGAAGTTGGTGTGAAAGATGTGGCGCAGGGCCTCCAGATGACAGCGTACAGTGTGGCGGGAGCACTCCTCGGTGGTGTTCAGATCGAGAATCTTGATGTCCTCCGACATGACGCTGTTGACGGCCTCGGCTATAATCTTGCTGCGCTTGGCCACATTCTCAAAGTCAATGCTGCGTCTGATTCTGTCTGGATTCTCCACAAGGCCGTGCAACTGGAAGGGCAGTAAATGGTTAATGCTGGTCGGAAATAATTGCCAAGCTCATAATACCCACGGCCAAGGTCTCATTAAGCGCTTCGAGGAATTCAGGCAGCTTGGTATCAGCGGGTCGCTTGCAATAAGCCCACTTCTGGTCGCCCGCAATATCGATATCGTGCAGGCAATGAGATGGCACACAAATCACATCATCCGCATCCACAGAGGGTCGGTCAAAGTTCACCACTAGCACAGCGTCCAGCGGCGAACAGTCATGTCTCAATATATTCTGAAAGCAGCGGAAATCTTCAAACTTACGCTTGGACACGTAAAAATCCTTGCCAGCGGTTATATCCGTAAAGCTCAAACAGTTGCGAATACAGAACTTCATGGTGGGGCACTTGGACAGAATGCTTTCAATAGCCGGACCCCAAGTGGAAACGCAGAACGCATGCTTCTGGAACAGCATCAGTCTGAAAAGAAAACCTGCGTTTAATTGGATTTAATTACGATTTACCAGACTGAAGACTGGCCGACTGACTGCAGCTGAATACCACATTTGAATTGGAGCAACTTACACCTCGAGAATGCCACGATCAATGTAGGCATCTACGAAACAATTGAATCGTGTGGTCTGTAGTATAAAGTTGGTGACAGCGGTCTTGACCAGATTGGACAGAGATTTGAGAGCGCGCTTTATTGAGGACACGATATAATTACTGAGCAGCACCTCGCGAACGGGCGCCTCGTCGATAATTGTGCACAGGCAGCGGAATATGTTGTGGACCAATATGGAGTGAGCATAGGAGCGCTGTTAAATGAACTTTTAGACTATAAATGTGAAACGATAAACCGATAAACGATAATCGATAGACGAATATCGATAAATAACGATCGATACATGATAAACCGATTGTTCGATATTATTTACCATAAGTAGCTGTGCAATTTGTTCAGCGAGCGGCGTATATTCGCCCATAGTCGTGCGATACTCATCATTGGCGGCCAAGCTCTCGATAATCGCCAGCAGCGACAATATCAGATCTATCGATAGTTCCGGCAAACCCTGCCTTAGGGTGGTTGCCAACGCTTCAGATATGTTTATTTCCATTAGCTTCTCGGATGTGCTACGGAATGAGCTGACCAGCAAACTCCCGATGAACTCGGCGGCCTGCTCGCGTGTCTTAATGGACACGTCCGGTGAACGCACCAGGCTAACCAAGCGTGAGAGGGCCCCATTTTCGTACTCGGCGACAATGGTACGCAGTGCCTCCGGATGAGCAATCATGCGATTCAGACCCATGATGACAAATGGAGCTGGTTCCGGTTTGCTGCTCAGCAGGCACTTCAGCAACATTTGCGTAATGTTGGCATTGTGGATGCGTGGCAGGTACCTTTCGTATTTGGCCGCTTCGGCGAATATGGAAATGACGGTGCAGACGACTTCAGCTGGCAGTAAGTCTATATCCTCCTTCAGATGCTCTACCATCTGGTCAAAGAGATTCTGCTCAAAGAACAGCTTGGTCATTTTCTCGGAGCGCAGAGCCGTGGCCATCACCTCGATAATGCCAAGGGCGTCGGGCGCCCTGGGATTCGCGCAGAACGCTTTGACCAGCTGCTGCAGCACAAAGAAGCAGCGATGCACTGGCTCGAAAACACTCTCGTCACTGGTATCGGCCAACAGGGTCTTGAGCACCTTGATGGCGGCCAAACGGATCTCCAGGAACTCATTGGTCAGCTCGCAGATAATGCGATCAACAGGGAATCCCGGCAGGGTGGTGAACTCGAGCATCTCCTCGGCGCTTTGAACTTGTAGAATTTTGTGCAACGCTTCAATAGAATTGAGCACGGTATCTGGATTATCCGAATTAATGAATATGTTCTTGAACTTCTCAAGAAATTCAATATTTTCCAGTACGTTCTGAGCCACTTTCGGATCACGCAAACACAAATTGACTATATAGGTCAGATACTCGATGCAGAACTCATCGCTCTCCTTCAGATAGAACCTAAAGCACACGTCCAGCAGCTGTGCGATCTTCTCCGTATCGTATTCGCCCAGTTCCGTGTTATCCAGCACCAGAGTGATATGGAACAAGGCGAATCGGCGGATAATTACATTCTCCGCATACATATAGATCCCCTTATCGATCAGCAACTCCAACAATTGCTGTTTCTTCAGTTCCAGTATATTCTCATCCTGTTTTCGAGCAAACTCCGCCAAATGACTGAGTACAACTTGTAATACGGGCTCCTCCTTTGAGTTAAGCAGCAATATGCCTGTTTCCAGAGATTTTATTACGACCGTCAAAGGCGCAAAAGAATTTTCAATGTTTTTGGTACGATCCGGGTATTTGGAGCGAGCTTCGTAAACGCGCTTTGTTCCGCTCGCCATTTTAGTTGAACAATAATCTCGATTCCTCTAAACATTTACTATTAATATAAACTGACTGAAAAGGCATTGTTTCGATAAATTCTCACAAAATTTAAGTAAATGTACTTGAACAAAGAATATTATCGAAAATCCAATACAAATCCGAATAATAATCCTTAAACTGATGAAAGAAAGGGTAAAATATACCATATTTGCAATTTAAACGGAAAGAAATTAAAATTCGTGTTGTAGCAGTGAGCTTTTGTCACGCAGTAATTGCTTATAAAAAAAAGCTGCCCGGCATGGCTTCAATTAATTGTATTTATCGCATACAAAATATTTTCTGACTTACCAGCTCGTGCTTAACTGAATTATAAATATATTAATATATATATATCAACTTATAAAATTATAAAATACAAAAATGAATGTCCTCAATTTTAAATTCAAATTTACCCGACAGCAGAAACGATCGACGCAAACATCGGCAGCATTTGCGACAAGTTGGCAGCACCAGATGAAAAAATATCATATTAACGGCAGCACGAATGGGGTGGAATGCAGAATGCAGAAGAACGCGACGCTTGTGTTTTTTCGCTGGCATCTAACAAAAAAAATGAAATTCAACTGCGCTGTGTACAATTTGAAGAACTGAGCGTGCAAAACAAAAATAAAAATAGAAATAAAACAAGGAAATAAGTTAAGCAACACAATAATCGATAGACACGTGAAAGTGAAGAGCCGTACGGCACAATCAAATACAAAATACAAATACAATGGTCAAGAAGGGACGGCCCAATGCGAAGCGCAACAAAAAAACTAAAGAAAAGGAAAATGAAAACGACAAGGAACAGCGCAGCGTCGATGCGGCGTCCATTGCTGCCGCCGCTGCCGCATCGACCAGCAGCAGCAGCATCGGCAACAGCAGCCGCAGCCTTGCCAGCGAGCGTCGCACCGTGGGCCAAGGGCCAATGTACACAATCCTCTCGAATGCACAGCTTAACGAGACCTTCCACAAGCGCTACATCAAAGAGCTGAAGCAACTGTACTCGAAGGTATGTTAGCGACGGGTGGGGGCAGATCGAAGTCAAAGTTTGCAGTTCCCTTTGTACCACCCACTAACAACTGACATGCTGTTGGCCTGTTTTTTGCAGCTGGACCACGACGCCTTCATGTTCACGTTCATCAAGATGTTCAAGACGGTGCTGGAGGCGGACGAGGGCAACGAGTATGGCAATACGGCGCTTGCATTCTGCGCCAAGTTCGTCACCAGCTTCGAGTCGGAAAAAACACATCCCATACTGGCGGAAACCTTCTGCTGGCTACTATCGGTGTGTGTTTACTGTACTTTCTTATCGTGTAGTTTGTTTACATTTTATGTTTCGCAGACAATTTCCAATAGCCCGCACATACGCTATCGCATTTGTTTCTTCGTGAATCTCATACTGAAACATCTCGGGCCGTATGCGGCCTTAGATGACTCGCAATGCGACCAGATTCTCCACTATATGCTGGATCGGCTGAAGGACATGTCTCCCAGCGTGCGCAAGGAGGCGGTGCTGGCCATGCAGCGACTACAGGTGCCGGATCATCCCAACGATCCGGTGTTGTGCGCCTATCAATATCATTTAAGCTCGGATCCGTCGTCCAGTGTGCGGCAGTGCATCATCTCGTGCATGGGCCGCAACTATCTAACAGTGCCACACATACTGCAGCGCCTTTGGGACGTGGACGAAAAGGTGCGACGCCACACGTACATCAACATGTGCAACTATCCGGTGCGCTCCTACAAAGTGTCACAGCGCCTGACGCTGCTCGAGCGTGGACTCAACGACAGTTCGGAGAATGTGCGCAAGAATGTCATCAAGTATATGCTCAAGGCCTGGATCGAATCCTACCAGCAGAACTATATACAGCTGACGGCTGCGCTCAAGCTCGACTCCAACGAGGAGGAGCTCATGCGCTTCAGACGTGTCGCCCGCCAAATGTTGTTCGTGATCTTCGAGCAGACCGCCAACAGTGAGCTGCTCGCCCAGCTGCCGCTGACCGAGGACTGTGATCTGCATCGGTGCGTGCCGCACGAGGCACTCACCGTCGAGCTCGTTCTATACTGGCAGTGCCTCAGTGGCTACCTGCAGCAGACGCAGGCCGACGAATTCGAGCAGGTTCTGCCCGAGTTGAGCGTCTTTTGCGATTATGTGAAAAAGTAAGTTGCTTGAAAGTTCAGCTAATTCGCATGGAGAAAGTTTAACCAATTGGTCTCGGCACAGGTTCTGTCAGTTCCAGAAGCCGGATATGGACAAATTTGCACAGATCGAATTCCAGAGCATGATGCTGTCGCTGGTGGAAATACTACAGACCTACGATCTGGGCGATGAGATTGGTCGTGCCAATCTGAAAGAGCTGATCACGCATCTGCTGAGGGAATGCCTGCTGGATCACAAGATTGTGGCCGTGCTGGTGCGCTGCGCGGAACAGCTGGTGAGTGATGTGGCCACGCGGATGCAGTACTTCATCGAGATCATCTATGAGATATGCGAACTGAATGCCAAGCAAAATGATTTTGTGCACGATCGTGAGCTAACGGATAAGCTGCTCGACAATGTTGAAACATCGCTGGTTATGAAGATTCGATCGCTAAAGGTGAAAATTCTGGAACTCGAGGAAATGGAGGAGAACTTTGTGCGACAAAAAGAGTATATGCGTGCGCAGGCCGTCAACGATGAGCGCATGACCGTCACGGATGAGTACAGGGATTTGATACAGCCGCTGCTCGAGAAACATGGCGAGCTGGAGCTGCCGACGCGCCCCAAGCTGTCCAAGCAAGAGCGCGTCCTCAAGGGCCTGTACATATCCTTCTACATGGTCGCCTCCGAGCATGTGCACACTCTGAATCCCAGCATCTGCAAGCTCTACAAGGTAATCTACATTATATTCCCATTAATCAAAATCAAAATGAATTTAATTTTCGCTGCAGGACTTCATTTGCCGGCATTTGGCTTCGACGGAATTGGACATATTCGAGTGGGCCATCAAGTGCGGCACCACGTTCAGCATTCTGTACGAGGCTTACACCAAGGAAGTTTTCGATGTGCTCGTGGACGAATTTTATAAGAACAACAACTTGCGCCTCTGCGAAATATCTGCACAATGCGTGTGCGAGCTGATGGATCACTATGGCGTGGACTACTTCATGGATCTAAATCAGTCCGTTGCGGGACAGGGACTGGCGCCCAAATCTAAACGCCGCCTGCTGTTCACCATGCAGGACTTTGACGGCGAGGAGGACAGAAGTCAATCGCAAGGCAACGATCAGAATACGGACATCATCAGCATGATGGGCTTCTTTGTCGAAAAGGTCGTCGACAAGGGCATTCTGCTGGCTATTGTGCGCGGACTGTGTCGCTTGGTGTTGCGCGGACATCTGGACAATCGCACCGATGTGCTGGAGAAGCTGCTCAAGCGTTACTTTAATCCAAACACAGGTAAGCAGGAAATAATTTGAATGCTGTTGTCAACTCGTTCTAAATTCCTTGTATGTTTTGTGCAGAGCCCATCATTAGCCAGGTGCTGGGCATGTTCTTTGAGAATATTGTGGCGCAAAAGCTGCAGCACCTGCTCGAGCCCTGCCTGCTGCCCATTGTTTGGTCCGTGATGAACTGCAGCTACGATTCGCTGCTAAACGATGTCCTGCCCGAACATGTGACCAAGTTCTTCATTGATCTCACAGTTCAAGAGATGAGTAAGCCACAGAATAACCTTCACAATCGGATTGCGATCAGCTTTCTGCATTATATACACAACTATTACACGGAGCGCAAGGAGATGTGCCGCCTGTTGGCCAAGGAGCTGACCACGCTTAAGCTGAATGTGCTGAATAGTTCCCAGATGAAGGATGAGATGCTCGAACTGGCCGACAAGCTTGTCAGTGTAAGTGGACTCAACAAATATGTTGATTTTTGTTTAATTAAATGCCTTTTGTAGAGCGAACTCGAGCCGCGCATGATAAAAAATATTGTGGACTTTAAGGACGTGCTCAACGGCAGCTTCAATCCGCCCGCACGCAAGCCTGATGGCAACGAAAGTGAAGCGGATGCGGAAGAGTGTGAGAGCGTGACGGCCACCATAGCGTCGACATCGGAGTGTCCAACGCAAGTGCCTGCAGCGCCCGAAAGCGAACCACCTGCAGCAGCCACGGCCATAACGGAGGCTGCAACATTAACCGAAGCAGCAATAACCGAAGGCAGCTCGACAAGAACGTCGCCTTCGACGGTAGCAGTAGCCACGGAGCCCGTGCTGACCACTTTTGGTGCCAACAATCAAGTGGGCATACGCTTCCTGCGACGCTCGCTCCACAATTCCATCAGTCACTCGGATGCGGAAAGCAATTGCAGCTCCCAAACGCCAGCGCCAGATGCCGAGGCACTCGAAAAGCAGCAACAGCAACAAGAAGAGATCAAGGAAATTAGTCGGCGAAATCTGTGCAGAGACAAAACCAAACAGCGTCTGGAAAAGGCAATTGCGCGTGCCTCGAAGACGCCCGAAAAGCAGCCTGAAGCGCCAGAAGCTGCAGAAGAAACATATGTTGAGGTTGATGTGGGAGTGGAAGAGGATGCGGAAAATGAAGCGGAAAAAGAAGCGGAAGCTACTGTCGCCGCCGATGTCCCCGAGATTGCCGTTTCTCCCGCTGAAGAGCAGGTAAGTTTAATTTATTTAATTTGGTTTCATGCTAATCACATCCGCTAATTCTTTCCCTTCTTGCACAGCACTCCGACTCGGACGTGATCGTGGACTCGCCCACAGCCGCGTCGCCAGTTGCGAGCACAGCACAGAATGAAAGTCGCCTACGTTTGCGCTCGATGCGCAACCGCAACGCAACCGGGACACGCAATACGCCAGCGGGGGGCAGCAAAGTGAGTACCGCGCGCTTGCGCTTGCAGCTCTAAGCAAAGCCGGCAGACCAGACAGTTCCAGGCAGTAACAGTAGGAGTAGATGCAGCAGTAGGTACCCTGGGGCGACGAGAGACAAACACGAATTAAGTTTAGTTTAAAACGTAGCCTTTAATTATTGATTGACATGACAAGAAAAGTTGTTTAATTTAAGCGCAAATGAGAAACGATTCACAATTTGCATTAACTATCTAAAATTAACACGTTTTTGAAAAAAACAACAACAAACAACATCCCACAACAAAACGCTGTTTTCTTTCTGCCCAAGGACCACCAATACATGCTATATGTATATATATTTGTTTATTTGTACAAAGTTTTATGGAACATTTTAAAGACTCTTAAGATATACTTAGATTTTAATTTCGCACTAGTTCGAATCCGGTTTTTGATTACGTTTTAATTTCCATTTTGTGTTGTGTTTTTTTATTTTTAATTTTCCTCGTTTTTCTTATGTTTCTGCAGCGCAAGGTCTTACACCTCGAGATCCAAACGCCTCTGCGCAATGGGCGCAAGCGCGTGCTCCGCAAGTCGCTGGCTGCAACGCCGGCGACCTCTTCGCAATCCTCCGACTCGGCCACATCCTCGAAGCGCGTCTCGCCGCTACGCAAGCAGCTGCGTTTGGATGCCAGAACGACCAGAAGACGAAGCAGTGTGGCCGCTTCGCCAGTGCCAAAGACAATGGCAGCGCCAGCGGCAAAGAGCACAGCCAGTCCCACGGACAGCAGCAGCTCGTCCATCAAGGAGAACACGGTACCGGCACCTGTTCGTCCACCAGCGCCAACTCCAAAGTCCAATCACAAAACGCCACAGCGCCACAGTACCAGGCGCTCCGGATCACAGATGAGCAGCAGCACGCCCGTGACCAGAATAATAACGCGCCATTCGGCGCGCAGTCTGCGAATGAGTGCCATGAGCTTGACCCGTAAACGAATGTCCCAGGAGCTAAGCATGACCGAAGGGCACCTAAAGATGTCTACACCAAAGCGCGTGCGGCAGGACAAAGCAATGCGCAACAAGTCCACCTCCGGCGAGCGTGCCGCAGTCAACACGAGCAGTTCCAGGAGTGCCACAACGCGCACCCGTGCGGGCACAGCAGAAACCGCAGCTGTGGCAACCCGCACCCGACGCAAATAGCTGTCACCGGACCCACCCCTTTCCCCTATCCCCATCCGCATCTCAGTGTTTAGAATTTTGTTTTGTGTATTGTATTCGATTAAGTTCTATTTTAACATTGTGCGCGCTTTTCATGTTCATTTGACCTTTTGTAAATTTTATGTATATTACGTAGTCATGTTTAAATATACTTATTTCAAATATAAATCGTCATTTAAGGATCGTCGGTGCTCCACGAGTTCAACGCGCCCAATATGCCCGGGCTTTGTTTGGCCGAGATATGACCATTTAATGTTTTCGAGAAACTTACGTGTGGTTGTGGACATAGAAATAAAGGAAAGCATTGCATACTTTCGAGCTGGCCGCACAATAAGCTTGAGCCTATTAGAGTAGCTTTTCTAAAGCATACTTTTGGGCAACCCATAAAAATAACAATTCACAATAAACACATTGCAGCAAAATTTGATAGAATATTAAAATGGAAATAACTCGGCTAAATACAGTCCGATTTAGGAATGATATACCTCTTTCTACTCGTACGGATCCCGACCATCGATTGCTACCCAAAAATCCATATTCTAAGAGATTACCCAAAATGACCAAAAATACAGTGTAACCATCACGTTTTTCCGAAAAATGCCATTTTTCCGAATTCGAAAAAGGTGGATGGCATTCGATTCTATGGGCCTCCGCGAGAAACCCCTCCCTTTTTGACCGCAATCGGGCTTTATTTGGCCGAGATATGGCCATTTAAAGTTTTCGAAAAAATATCTTCACACGTCCGCGGGAGATATGTCGTTTCAAAACGACATAATCTCCGCCGCGCTAAAAACTTCATACGTCCGCCTGGAGATATGTCGTTTCAAAACGACATAATCTCCGCCGCTCTAAAAGCGTCATACGACCGCGCGGAGATATGACGTTTCAAAACGACAGTAAAAATGGAGAACGACATAATCTCGCCCTGATCAACGGCGGAGTTATGTCGTCTCAAAACGACATATCTCCGCCGTTGTCCGCCGTCCAGAGGCTGTTAACAGTGGTATGTTAACTAACAGTGACTTAGCAAAGAACTGTTAAGTAACACCTGCTTAACAGCGGCCTGTTAAAAAACTTGCAAGTCATCAATTTTGCAAAAAAATTTCTGTGCATCTACTTGCTGGTCATTTCTGTTCGCCTGGTATTTCAGCTGAATTTTGATTTGCAAAATGTGAGCCAACGGCCAAGGCCCAGTGAAGTGGAATTTTGTCACCGTTAAATTTTAAATCTTAATTTAATTGTGGATAATGCTTTCAAGCGAATTTTGCTGGGATTTGGAACTATTGGTTCCCCAGGACTCTATCAATGGTATAGTATAACCAAGGATATATGGGTCATCTAGGAACCGTAGAAAGAGCTATGGCTGAAAGAAAAAGCATACATGTTTGTGGACCATTTACGAGCGAATTTCGGTCGGATTTGGTCCTTTAGTTTCACCAGGACTATATCAATGGTATGGTATAATCAAGGATATATGGGTCATCTGGGAACCAGTTTATATTTTTTGTTCGTCGAGCAATGTGTAGTTCAGACATCATTTGTTTGTTTTTACAAATGAATATCCTTATTTTAAGACAAAGACAATTCGGCTATATGCTTGCAGATTTTTAAAGGATCGTTTGTTCAGTTTACAGATCATTCGATTAAAACTCAAGTTTCGCACAAGGACTAACATAGCCAAACATGCTTTTGTAAGATGTATTAATTGTTTATATGGTACTCGACCCTTCAGATCTTTTTGATTGCGTGCGAAACTGGCGATAAAGGATAACATAGTATAATTAAGAACTAGAAACATTGCATTATTAGATAAGTACATGCTGAGATTCATTCATACAATAGGAGAGGAGTATGAATTACATTAGAAACATATTTTGAGCAGTGATTGAGTTCGAGTTAGAGATGTCCTATTCACTATAGTATTAAATAATTAAGGATAATATAATATCCGCAGCGAACTTTAAATGCTTAAGACACAATTAGAAACAAATAATAAGGCCCAAAGGATGTTGGTAGGTATACGTATGCATATATAGCTCTATCTATATGCGCATCTTTTAGAGCTTAACTCCCTTCAGTTTGACAGCCGTGGTGTGGAGATCCCATTCCTGCTGCTGAAGCGCCTCGTATGCAGCGGACAGGCTGAGATTCGCCTCGGCGAGTATATTCTGCAGCTTAATCAGTTTAATGGACTTGTGAACATCCCAGTTGATGAACTCCAGGGCGCCCAGACAACGTGTCGGCGTGCTCTGTGTGGATCATAAAGAAAATACATTAGTTTAAATTAACGAAAGGAATTCAAGATTTGACTCACGTCCTTGCCCAGTACTTTGACCATGATGCGCACTTCATCCGAGTCGACGCCGCGTTCACAGCCGCGCGGCTTCTTGTCGGAAAACTCGAGCAAATCCTCACAACTAACAGAGTTGGAGTCGGCCAGGCGAGCCGCGGTCGCTGCAAAATATTCTGCCTCCGTTTGTGACTTGGACGCGGGCACATTGGCCAAAGATGCCGTCGTGTTGTTCGCATCTTTGCCATTAATGGAGTTGCGGATCATGGCCTGGTTGACGGAAGCCCGCACTTTTTTGAAGAGCGCATTGCCCGCCAACTCATTGTCCACGCTGCCCAAGCGGCGCGTGCTGATGTTCTCCAGAGGCGCATCTTCTGCAGCAGTGGTTGCTGCAGCCACCGCCGCCGCTGCTGCTGCTGCCACCGCGGAGGCTGCCGTTGGCGCCATCTCCTGAGGAACTGCTGCGGAGTCCAATGTGGTTGAGCTGCTGCTGGCGGCCAGCGGCTTGTCCAGATTGCGCAACTCATCGTCGTTGACATAGAGCCCCGAGATTTGGGCAGGTTCGAAGCCCACATCCTTGCTCTTGTTATAGTGTTCCTTCTGTATGGAGAAGTTGTAGAAGCCATCGGTCACGTCCGGCGATTGGAGCTCACCCTCCTTGCTCATGTCCGCCTCCAGTATGGACTCGAACTGCAACGAAGCGCTGTCTGTCAGCCCAGCTGCATCGGCAGGCGCCAGTTTGTCCAGGTTCTGGTAGGTATGCGCCGATGCTCCGCCTGCCAGGGCAGGCATGTTCTCATATTCTCTGGCCTCGGGCCGACGACGCACGCTACTGGAGCGCACGGCCGCCACCACCTCAATGGAACGCGCCTGCTGCTGCTGCTGTTGCTGTTGCGGCGATGCGTCGCCAGCTTTGCTGGCCGCCTCCTCGCCAAAGTCCGCCAGCTTGCTGAGAGTGCGCTGCACGCCGTTGGCCGGGATAATGAGCGGATATTTGCGGACGTGCCGCTTGGCGCTGGTCTTCACCTGTTTTTTGCCCTCGCGTGAAGGCAGTGGCAGCGGATTCGCCTCCTGCGGCTCTGGGAACTTGTAGCTGGCGTGTGTCATGTAGCTGGGACTCTCGCAGGATTCGTTAGGCCCCAGCGAGTTGCGATTCTCATCATTTGGCCGCTCCTCGTTCGCATGCTCGGCCCGGCGCACACGCAGAGCCGCGCCACGTGTGGGCAATGTCATGGGTCGCGGTGGCTGCAGCTGCTGCAAAGGACGGGCGCATTCCGCAGCAGCAACGGCTGGCTCCATGGCAAGGGCAGCGGCAGTGCCCGGATGACTCAGCTGACTGCCCAGGCGACGTGGCAGCGTCTTCGAGTTCATCAGCTCAAACTCGTCCGTGTCCATGTGGCGGAGCAGCGTTGCAGCCGGACTGGAGCCAATGTTCAGCATGCCCTTGCGCTCGATCAGGCTGTTGTAGGCCTCGCGACCCTCCTCGCCAATCAGGGACTGTGGGTCACGAAAAGGGATAGAGGAAAAAATAAAAATATGTAAATAAATAAAAACTAAATGAATATGTAAACAATAACAGAAAGTTCTTAACATAATAGAATAAATATTAGTAAATACGCGCCTAATAGAAAACAACTTTTGCAATTAAGATAAAATGTTAGCACTTAAAAAGTTAGTATAAACTTATTGCAATTAATATAAATGAATATAATCTATATTATATATAAATATAATAATATACAATTCCTCTCTGTTTTCTTTTGCTTTATTAAATCCCTTTAAATATACACAACGTTTTTGATTACCAATTGGATTTCCTGTTTGGTTCTTAGAATGCAAACTTTTAGATATTTTATCTTTTTGTTTTTGTTTTTTTTTTTTTTCTTCTTGAAATATGTATATATAATACTTGGAAAAAGATTTGTTTTTAGATTTAGATTTTAAATTTTAGTTTTTTAATTTTAGTTTAAGTTTAAGTTTAGGTTTTTTTGTTGTTGTTTGTGAAACGCTTCGAACGCATGCTTTAGAATATCATTTTTTGTAGTATAATATTTTAGTTTTCTTTTAGATATGAATATATATGAATTTGTAATTATATTAAAGTACGATTAATCTCGTATGTATATAAACTTTGTATATAAGTAATTTTGTGTTTGCTTCGTTTTCGGTTAGCTTTATCATTAAATGCACAGAATGCGACTGACAAATCGTTCAATTCAAATACATTATTCGAGTATCTAGTTCCCGATTGGAGCTCTATAAAAAAAATGTAGACGCTTGAAATTTGGACAAGCGCACAACTCGGTTTACTTCGAAGCAGCAAATACTCTTTCTCTCACAATACATTTCGTACATTTCCACATGGTATACGAATAGAGCTTTAATCAGTTTTATATAGTTAGTATATCAATTATATATAGTATAGTAAAAATGCAAGCGTAAGGATATGGCACATAATACACATTTGCATATGTACGAGTTTTTTTTCTTCTTCAACTTTTTGGTTTATATTATGTTGGAATTCTTTTGGGATGTTGTTTTCGGTGAAGGATTGTCAACGGTTGGTGTGCGTGTGTGTGTGTGTGTGCGTGTGATGACTGTTGTTATGTGTGTTGTTCTTGTTGTTCTCATTTTTTTTTATACCCTGTCATATTTTGGTGAGGTGTTGTCAGTGTCCTCTGTGTTTTAAATGGAATGCTAATACTGATATTCTTTTTCTTATCTACCTTTTCTTCATCTTGTCACGACCCTGACAACCAAGCTCTGTTTGCGGATGATAATATGATGATGTCTGAGGAATCTGTAGGAAATTGTTTTGTTTTTGTTGTTGCCAGCGTCGTTTCTGGAGTGCGTAGCCTTGTCTTGGAAGCCTTTCTGAGTTGAGCTCTATGCTAAGTGTTTTTCGAGTCTTTTTGCAATGCGTTATACCCTTGCAGTGACTATTTAAATTGTACTACATTTTACTTGTATGCTCTGAGGAAGACAGCTTGCATATAGTTATAGGGTATCTGTCAAGCTGATTGAACTATCTTATTCGGCGTGCTCCACACGAACTGATCTCTCGGTAATTCAATCGGACCACTATTTCATCTAATTCCCACAGGAATGGAAATCGAGTTTTAATTAATATATTAAATATCTGTCTGCTAGGGTATTTAATCTTCGAACAGCCGAAGCTTGCTGCTTGCTTGTCTTTATCTTTTTTTTTTTTTTTTTTTTTTTTTTTTTTTTTTTTTTTTTTTGAATATATTGCAGCTAGTTAATATTGCTTTAATGATTATTGAGCTGTTTAGTTTAATGGGGTTCCCCCTTTCGGCAGGGCCCTGAACTGGCTTTGGATATTGCTTATCTTTAATCTCAATTGAATTGAAATGTATCTGCATCTGTAAACTGTATCTGTATCTGTATCTGTTTCTGTGTAACTGTAACTGTAACTGCTTTTGTTAGCTATGCAAGTGCACATTACGCGTATTATTATCATCCGTTCTGAGAGGTCTTCCGTGTTTCCGAATAAGGCACTCTCCCAAATATTCAAATCCAAAATATATATATATGGTATATGTATAGACTAATAAATATTGGCTGTAAATATTTCTACAATTTACTCTTCGACACACCTGGCGACACACACCACACTACATCACACACACACGCACACACGCGCACGCGCACACACGCACACCACTTGGGGGCGGGGCGAGGCACTGCCCTAATCCGAGAGCACATGACCGAATAGTAAATTGAGAACATATTTCAGCATTTTCCTTAGTTATGGAGCCGGGCTGGGCGGAATGCGCGGCGCAACGAATTCACGTCGGAACTGAAACTCATCCCCGCTCTCCGTGCTGGATGAGGAGCTGCTGTCGCTTGAGTCATGAGCAGCTGTTACGAGGGGCACCAGGGGCAGCTGCTGAGGCTGTGCCAGTTGTTGCTGCTGCTGCTGCTGAAGCTGGAGCTGGCGCCAGTGCATTTCGTGCTGCTGCACCGCCGAGGCGTGTATCTTCTCGGGCCAGTGGAACTCTGTAGGTCGCTGCGGCTTTCCTGGCAGCTGCGTCTGGGCGCTGTTGGATAGCTGTCGCTCGTCCGGCGAGCTGCCCACAAAGTTAGTCGACGTGGGACTCTTGCCCGTGAGTCGACTTATGTCGAACTCGTGCAGCGTGGCGCCGCTCATGGGACGCGGCACCGCAGCCGTCGCAGTGCGGTAGGTGGCCACCGCGGAGGAGGCCGCCGAAGAGGAGCCCGAGCCGGAGCTAAGCTTCTGCGATTGCGTGGTTGCCAGCAGCGTATGCTGGGCCATTTGTGCCGTGTAATTGTTGCCCGGTCCGCGTCCGCCAAAATCATAGATGCGCTCATCATAGTGGAACTGCTCGTAGCCGGTGCCCGGTCGATGGAAGCTGCGCCTATTGCCGCCCAGGTTGTAGTGCGGCGCCGACTTGATGCTGGAGTTTGAGCCATACAGTTGCCGTGGCGATATGACGACCTCCCGTTCATCTTGGCAGGCGGACTGCACCTGTCGGCTAAGGCCCGCGCGACGCCGACGACTCAGCGAGTTGCTGGAGCTGGCAGCAACGCGGGCGCGTATATCACACTCGGAGCGCGCCAAGCTGGGCTTGCTGGGCTCCTCGTCACCGCTGGACGAGCTGCTCGAGTCGAGAGTCATGGGATTGTAGCTGAGCCGGCGCAAGGTGCGCGCGCGGATTGAGCGCGGCTTGTAGGAGGCGGAACGTCTGGGTAGCGGCGCCTGCTGCTGCTGCTGCAGCTGCTGGTGGACCTGCTGTTGGAGCAGTGGTTCCTGGCGAAAATGGCGCTGCTTGGCGTCCGACAGAACCGGTGAAATGGGCTGGAAGCTCTCATTAAAGGAGGTGGAGCGCTGGCGATAGCTCTTGGCAGCCGCTGCATAAACGGAGCTGTTGCTGGCATTCAGACAAGACTTGACGGGCGAGGCGCTGGCCAGCAGCTGCTTGGTGTGGCCATTGCCGAAGCGCTCGTAGCCGCTGCTCATGACCACCGGCGGCGCACTGTACAGCGTCTCGGTCTTCATGGGAAAGTAGCTCTCCTGGGGGCTATAGCTGCTCTTCTGGCTGCTGCGACGCGACAGCGATATGTTGGTGTCCCGCGAGGCAAAGCCCGTGTCTGGCGTGCTGCTGCGCTTGTCCTCGAGCAGCTTCTGCTCCGGCTGTTGGCTGTGCAGCTGCGCCTGGTTGTGCATATATTGCAGATGCTTGTCCAGGTGACTTGTTGCCGCATTGAAATCAAACATGGTCTGCACCCCGTTGCTGTAGCTGTAGACAGCTGACTTCAGGCTGCCGTTGGCACTGCTGATGCCATCGTCCAAGGAGCCCACCAGCTGCGGCAGCTGATCATTCAAAATGGTGTCGTTCGAGTCGCTCTTGTCCAGCTCCGTGTACGTGTGCATAAAGTCCAGATTGAGCGCCTTCAGAGTATTCTCAATGTCCATTATATTATCATTTATGCTCTTTGGCTCTCGCTCTCTCGACTCCTCGCTGTGGAGCTCCCTGTTCAGCGGACGGCTGAGTATCTCGCGTGACTTCTCAAAGAGAAAGTCGGAGCTCTCCTTGTCGAATATGGGTATGCGCAGCTCGGAGCTGTTCTTGATCTCGCTTAGAGAGCGAAACCGCTGCTTAATGTGTGTGAGGGGAAAACGAAACGGAACGAAAACGCAAAGAAAAACGAACGAATGGGCAACCAAAACAAAGCAAAGGGAATGAACGGAGCGCGCCAACACGAATGAAGAAGAAAGAGAGAGCAGAGTGTAGACAAAAAAGAGACTTCCAGATTAGCAACAGGCCACAACTGCAACATCTAGCCTAGCTCTACGTTAATCTAACTAAATACAAAACATAGTATCTGACTATATCGAGGCCATGCTCACCTGTATATCGGGTATGCTTTGCAGCTCCTCCGTAAAGTTCTTCTTCTTGGAGAAGGGCGAGGCATTGCCATGCGTAGGTGTTAGCGCAGAGCCGCCAGCAGCGCTACCCAGAACGCCACTTGACTTATCTCCGCCGCCGCCGCCGCTGCTCAAATGCGGAAAACGAAAGCTGAACTTGCGCTTGGGACTGTGCGTGGCTGGCGTATGATCAGATACCAAATCAATCATGGATCTGCACAAGAGAAAAACCAACTCAGTTATATATTACACTATAAAGATGAGACATCACTCACCTGGCGCTAATCTCGTTGGCAATTTCGATGGCATGATTCAGTATTTTCTCATCCTTGACCGAAATGGGCTTAACAGTGCCCGTCGCTGTCTTCTTTTTGGACAGCAGTCCATGTCCGTGTCCATGGCCATGCTTGTTTCCATTGCTGTCGCCAGTTTTGTGGCCAAACTTCGCCGACATCTCAACGAATTCGTTTTTTGTGTTCACATGATCAAAATCGGGCGACTTTGGCTGGCTACCAGAGGCGCCGCTGATTGATCCAAACATTGAGTTAATTTCGTCCAGCAGCGAGGGCCCGAAGTCAAGCTTATCGCCAGCGATCTCATCGTCGGATATCTCGTGATACTCGTGCGGATCGTCGGTCGTATTGCGTGAACTGGCGCGCCAGTTGGGTTCTGAGTGGATGCTCTTGCCATCGGCGCCATAGTTGTTGTTCTGTAGCGCATAGGCGAGCTGCTCCTCGTCTAGTTTGTGCGAGGCAAAGGGATTTGTGGAGCCGGTAAAGTCAAATGAGCTGTGCCCATTGCTGGGTATCAAGTTGGGCGTGTGCTCCGTGGAGGGAATAAATGTGGGATTCATTGAAGTGCCACCGCCTTCCGGAAAATAACCGCTAGCTGTTTGCAGCGAATCCGGACTGGTGGGCGTCGGCGGCAGCAGCAGCGGCGTCTGCTCTATATCCTCCGACGGCTTGTAGGGCGTCACAATCTGCTTGGGCACATGATTGTACTGCAAGAAGAAGCAAACATATTAATCTACGAATGACGCTGATGGGCGACTGTTTGGATTACATTTTGGGAGCTGCCGAGGAAGGCGATATCACCAAAGGTGGCGCCATCGATGCCCACGTGTCCGGTATGCTTAAAGTCATTCTGCGGCTTTGAAATCATTTCCGTGCGCAGCTTGCGCTTGCTTATGCGATGGTCGCCAACGCGACTGAAGGAATCACGATTGGAAGAGCAGGGCAGGCCCTCCAGGAATGCGACCGTGTTTGAGGGATTGAAGTATCCAGTCTTTCCAGTACCCAAAACGCCTTTCCAGAAAGGCGTGCCCGTATTGCGATCAAGCACGCTTATTATATCGCCCTGGCGATACAGCAGATGATCTTTTTTCGGCTCCACGCAGTTGACGACGGCCTTGAGCTGCTCGGGCTTCATATCGGGCAGCTGTTCATAGATTTCACTAAACTTGGGCCGCTTGGCCGCATCGTCCTGCCAGCACTTCATCATCAACGTGTAATACTCTCGGGGACAGCAGTCCGGCTGCTCGAGGCGCTGATAATTCGGTGCATCGATGGCCTCCAGTATCTGCAGACCTGTCAGTGCCGCCCAGGGCTGAAAGCCATAGGAGAACATCTCCCAGAGGCAAACGCCAAAGGCCCACACATCGGAAGCGTTGGTAAACCGCAAGTAGTTGATGCATTCGGGCGCACACCAGGCAATCGGCAGCTTTAGATTTACATTGAAGTTCGTCTTGTAGTAGTCCTTGCCCACACCCAGCGCACGCGACAGTCCAAAGTCCGAGATTTTCACCTTATCCTTACTAAATACCAGAATATTCCGTGCAGCCAAATCCCTGTGTATGAGTCGCTTCTGCTCCAGATAGCGCATGCCGTTGCAGATCTGCAGCGCGAACTCACAGAGCGTGGGTATTGTGAGAAAGCTGACACGCAACCCGGAATCCTTAAGGCACTCGAGTAAGGAACGAAGGTGCGCCAGTTCCGTAACAAGCATCAGCGAATCGGTTGCCAGAACCACGCCGTACAGGCGCACAATGTTCTCGTGCTCGATCGAATGCATTATGGCTGCCTCCTTGAGAAATTCCATGGGATTCGATTGCATGCGTTCGCGGCACAGGCACTTGATGGCCACTTGAATCTGTGCAGCACTCAACATTAATTACACAATTCAACCGGAAGAAGCCCTTAAGAAGGGTGGGAGGCCCGACTCACCCGCTCGCTGCCATTCGTCCAGACGCCCTGCTGCACAATGCCGAACTCCCCGATGCCCAGTTGCTTATTAACGCTAATCGAATCAGCTGGTATGATGTGCTTGTTGTTGGGCACCTTGCCGCCCGGTGAACTGCTGCCATTTCTCGTCGCTGTGGCGGTGGCTGCAGCGGCGCTGGTCTCGTTTGTTGTCTGCCCGGTTGCGCCGTCCTCACGCTTCACAATTGTGGCGGGCGCTTGGAGCAGGCGCTTAATTTTGCTGAGGTAACTGTGGGGGAAATGCTTTTCATAGAACTTGCGCAGTCTTCGAATTTCCGGCCGGGACAGGCCAATGAAACGTAAGTCCTCATCCGCTGCATATTTAAATTGAGCTGCATTTGTTATTTTTAATTCGTTTCTGCGTGACGGAAAATTGGGGTTGTAAAAATGTAAAATGAGTCACGTGGTTGGCTGAGCTCAGTATGCAGATCACAATTTACGACAAAGCCTAACTGTTCTTTCGCTTTTTTTTTCACTTCTACTTTTCACAATGGCGCCAATATGCTCATCGACACATATACTGTGTATATCGGTATTAAATTATGGCAATTAAAAAATACTAGTTACTAGTTCATCTTCACTTAAAAGCCCTGTTGGCATATGGGGAATTTCTGACTGCTCGCATTTTATTGTGATCAGCATACCAGCCATACTATGGTCAATTTAGGTCACACAACTCACTTGATGGCATTGTAGTACTGCTGCAGTTCGGACTCGGTAAGGAATTCATATAAATCAATTTGTGGGCACTCTGGAAGATACATATAAATATAAAAATAAATACGGCTATATAAATGCTTATTTAACTTAAGTATGCATGTGGTGTAGCAGACCAACGACCAACAGCTGCACTCCATAATATTGACTCTGTTTGTTTGCGTGTGTGGTATATGGGTATGGAGTGGTGCGTATGTGTGTGGGTGGTATGGATTTCTTCTACACCCACTAGCAAAGACGCCAACACATTCATTGGTTGCGGCGCCCTCATGTGGCAGCCTTAAAACATTTCCATTCTTTCATTTCAATATCTTTATCTTTCAGTCCCACCTCATCCAGTCCACACATATACACACACACTCATACACACGCACTAACACAAAATTCTGATTGCCGCTGCCTCAACCCGCAGCATTTGTCATTGTGTCGTGTTTTTGTTTGCCTTTGTAAAGGAAACACTGCAACACATGTATGTACACATTTGTGCATATGTATGTATTTCGTGTGTACACAGATTGCCTGATAATGTCTGTTAAAAACCTTTGGATTTGCAATTTGAGTCATCAGCGCGGCATTCGACATTCATTGAGATAATAAATTCCATGGAAACTGTCCACATCCGCTTGACTGTTTGTTATTGCAATTGCACCAACTGTGACGCATTTATTTGTTGTAAATATAGTTTTAAGGACCAACGGATTGATTGCACTGTAATTAAATTGTCATTGCTATCCCGCAGGATTTGCAGTTGTCCTTGAATTTGCAAAATAAAATCGATCGGTCAATACACACGCGTACACACACTGACACACACCGCACTCACATACGTGAACGGAAGCAATTACTACGTAGCAGACACAGTTTTTCCAGCATTGAAAACACTTGCATTTTCCAAGATCATATTCACTTTTCACTATCCTATGCTTTTCTTATGATTCGTTTACATTATTAGCACACTTTTTAACACATATTTGCACTTTTTAACTCAATCTTACCCATTTTATTTTTGCGTGTGCATTGTTTGGGAGTACTGCATCTTTACCAGTGTGAGCTCAAGCGTCTAGATTGAAAACACCACTTTGATTTTATAGAAATATACCAACTCAAGAATGCACCATTGGTAAGGTCACACTTTGCTGCTAATCCACAGTGCCATTTTGAGTTTAACATGTAAACAAATATTTTGTGGTGGCAGCTGTTAAGCTAAAAACAGCTGTGCACGCGCAAGAAACAACCAATTATAAACAAAAATGTACTTTGCAAATATTTCAGATAAAAAAGCACTTGAATTTTAAATTGAAAGCTGATCTTAATTAAATATATATATATATATACTATTTGCAATAAAACAAAGTGTGCACGCGCACGAAAAAAAAACAATTATAAACGAATTATTTTTGCAAATATATAAGAAAAACACACCTGTTTTGTTTTTAAATTGGAAGCATACTGAGTTCATGTACATTATATATAATTGATTACTTCATGGCTTGCAATAGAAATAAAACAGTGATAAGATTCAAATGTGAAATTGTAAAGGTTATTTTGCTAATTGCATAAAAACTGCCAACGATCACTTAAAACAAACGGAAGCCGCCTGGGAAGTAAGTGACAGCCATACGATCTATAACAGCTTTGGTATGCTCATATCCCAAAGCGCTGTTGATGGCAGCCATCTCCTCGAAGAGTTCCCGTGTGCGTTTATCCTCAATCATCTTCGTCACATATTTGTACATACGTCCGTAATGATTGTGCGCATAGGCATGCCATATGGCGAATTGGATGGCCTTGGTATCGGTCGCATCAATAAACTTAATGATATCCGTGTACACTTCGTTCAGATCGGCCAAATGATCCTTGAGATTGTCTTCGAGCACACACAGCTTGGCGAGTGCAATGCCCTTCTTGCTCAAGGCTTCGATGAGATTATTCTTCTGTTTGTCCATGTTGCTAAAATGTCATATTGATATGGATTGAAGCCCAGGATTCGCTTTCATCTACTTACGTCTTGATTTTGGCCGCATCTGGACGTGTGTCGTTCTTAATTCCATAGTAGGAGAGCAGGGCATCGGCATCAGTTTCTTTAATTACAATATCTGCAAGCTTTATAATGCGCTCCAAGGCAGAGTGCTGCTTCTGCTGATCCTCCTTTGGCTTATCCACGTTGGCGTTGTCACCCTCATTGTTTGAGTTCTGCTGGGCAGCTAAGAAGGCGAACGGCAGTTGGCTCTTCAGCTCGCTCGACTCGATGTTTTGGATCATCTGCAGATGTGCCGGAAGATGCTTGGGATGTGCAGCAATAACCTCGTTGTATATTTTTTCAGCCTTCTCCAGTTCTAAAATTATACGCAAAGTGAACAGCTGTACACACTTGGTGTCCATCGGAGTCCTGTACTTACCACACTTGGCAATGTGAGAGCATTGGAAATCTCGCAGGCTCTCGGCATAGTCGTCAGCGCTGGTCTTGCCCTTTTGGGGAGAACTGGGCGCACCACCGCCCCCGTTGGCGGGCACTTCGCTCTGCAGGGTTACACCATCACCGCCAGCTGAATTTGCAGCGCTTGTTGCTCCTTGGGGCGTGGCTGCTGCTTTCGGTTTGGCTCCATTGGCGGTGACAGCGGCGGCCGCCGCCGGGCTGGCATTATTAGCAGCAGCTCCATTGGCGGCGCCATTTGCGGGTGATTTCTTTTCGGCCGGATTCAGTATGTAGGTAAAGGGATGCAGGGCAATGCGACGGCCGCCCTCATCTTTCGGAAAGATTAGGTTGCCGGCCAGCCAGGCGCATTGCGCCGGCAAATTTGCCTTTGTGAGCTTCTCTTGAGCAATGGGTGCAATATAGAGCATTTTGGTGGTCTCACGCACCTTGGCAGATGTAATTTTGCGGCCACTGATAATACACTGATTGTAGCTGTCGTAAAAGTCGAACGAGAGCATATTGGCCAATTTGTAGGCTGCAATAAGATTGGCCTCCGAGATTTTCTCGAGCAACTCGCGCTTCTCGTGACGCACCTGCAGTCGCACCGTGTACTCGCCCTTCTCCAGCTTCGTAAAGAACGTGTGTGAATGCGCGTCGCCGGTGGCAACCAGCGTTTTGTTCACATCGAAAAGCATCCACATCTGCGACTCAAATTCGGCTTCATACAGCAAATCGTTAAACAATGGCGCATACAACGCCACTTCCGCTGCCTTCCCTACATTCAGATTGTAGACGAGAATATTTTGATAGACCTGCCTGCCCTCCGGTATGACATCGCGTGTCGCGCTCAATGGCGAAATCTTTGCCTCGGTGGGCTTGAGCACAACTGCGGCATTCTTGAGCTGCAGCAGTGGTTGAATCTCCTCCGACACCAACGCTCCAATCTCCAGCTTGTGTATGCCACGACCAGCGTGCATGACATCTAAAATAGCATAAAACATATAATGTAAGAGCAAATTAAACACTCCGTTTTGGGACCATATTTACATGCGTTGGGATTTAGGGCAGCCACGCCGTGAAACTCGAGGCTGTACTTCAAATGGCTCTGCCCATGATTCGACCAGTATTTGGCTATGCACAACTCTAGTATCCTGTTGGCCTGCAAGTAAGAGAGAATTTGAATAATTGGCTCGTTTATTTAATTGCTGCTCAACTTACCTTAACACGGAAGGTGGCCGTGGCCTCAAATTCCGAATTGACGCCAATTATCTTCATGGTTTCCAGTTTGCGGCACGATTGATTCGGCAGCAGCTGATTTGTGTGCAAGAAGAACTTTCCAATGTCGTTGCCCCGATTTGGATCAGTTATGCGCAGGCGCAGCACTAGAACGTATATAAAGGTTTATCAACTCATTATAGTTTTTGCATGGGCACACACCTGCCCAGGTGGCCTTGTCCGGCACCTGAATAAAGTCCCTTTGAATAGTATTGGGTTGAAACTCAACGCTCTTGTCGGCCCTATTTGAGGCAGGCTCGTAGATGGGAGTGTTTTGGTTATCTTCCAGCACATAGGGCTGCACCACAGTAACGGGTATCTCAAACAATGGACCCTTCTTTACGTTGTCCGTGTCGTAGGCGCGAACCCTGCATTTGTGAAGATATTATCAGTTAAAATACGGAATTCTAGATAGCACAAGCGGCAGCTACTTACACGGCACTGTGCACGCCTGGCTGCAAGCTAGTCGGATCAATTCTGACCACAATAGAGCGTACGCCGTAGCTGAGGTCCAGGAAAGAGCCGCACTGCACCCATGGCTGCGAGGGCAAGAGGCTAAGACGCACATTGAAATTGAACTTTTCCTTGGGATCTGCAGGTATTGCTCAGTTATTAGAAGATGAATTTAAAGATCACTTCAATTTACAACTTACCCACTTCCTTGTCGTTGAAAAAGACGGGCTCAATGTTGACGTTGAAGTCAACGAACTTGCGCTGCACGCCTTCGCGTAGATGAATGCCCTTAGCTTGATTGGTGCCCACGCGTACAGAGAAGCTGCGGCGAGGAGAGGAGGCAAAAACTATAGATTATACCAATGACCAGAAATAACACTTCTCACCGCAGCATGTTGTCCTTAGACTGGCAATGCTCAAGCAAATGCTCGAAAGCCTTCTCCACGTTTAGCAGTCCATGGCCTTGTGCGTAGGGATCCACATAGCCCAGTTTGGTAGCCGTCACGCTAATGGCGCGCTTAATACTATAGGGCGAATACTCAATGTTTTGCTGCTTCAGGCCAGAGATGAGCAAAGCCACTGCACCAGCAACGTGTGGTGCCGCCATGCTTGTGCCATTCATTAGCTGCGACTTGCTCATGGTAAACTGCGGCACGGATGTAATGGCTCCGCCGGGTGCGCACACCGTCACGCCCTGACCGCCATCGATGCAGGGATCGCGTGATGTCCATGTGTATACGTTGCCGGGCAGCTTCTCACGCATCGCATACTCTGCCTCCATCATCTGCGGCGAGACATAGGCCCCCACACCTATCAGACTGGGTTGACTGATGTCCGGCGGAGTGCCGACGGTGCTGAGCGCCGGTCCATGATTTCCCGCCGAGGCAACCCAGACGACGCCATACTTATTGACAATCTCGTTCATCAGCTCACCAATACGGCTGCAAAGACATAGTGTATAACAGTTGAAAAGTGCCAAGAATCCAAATATCTTATAACGCTGACTCTTTTGTTTTATCAACCTAAACAAATATGAGTGTTTATAGGAGCTTGTTTATCGAGTAAGAGATTTCGCAGCGAGACGAAAGTAAACACAGACAACAGTTCGGATCGAGACGTATTTGTGTAATGCAATACGTGTGGGATTGGGTAGTTTGTTGGGATGCAGGATTGGGTATGTCATTCGATTTACCTCGGAGCACTAATCTTGATTCTTCTGCGCTTTTTATCGACAGACGAATTGAGCTCTTCAAACAAGCTAAAATCACAATTGTAATGCTAGAATCTGCTACATGGTAGCTAGTGCTTACCCGGAGTTCGACCAGTTTGAGTGCTCGCCATAGCTCATGTTGATCACATCAATGCGTCGGCCCTCGCGGCACAGCTCCATGACCTTCGTAATGCCGCGCACGAGCGCCGTGCCCGTCTCCATAGAGCCCAAACGGCCGTCACCAATGGTAATGGACACAATCTTGGCATTAGGCGCCACACCATCAATGTCCCTGGACTTGTGATTGCCACTGGCAATCGATGCTACGTGCGTGCCATGCGGCGCTGCATGGAGACAAATAAAGACATGTAGCTATTGACGGAACAAGTTGTCTATTAAATTTGTGTACTTACAGCACATGCCCACCACTTCTAGCACGTTGCCATCGTCATGGACATTCACCGAAATCGAGAGGAAATCGTCGACATTCTTGGTCTCATGTGTTCTGGTGTATTCGCCAATCCGCAGTGCCTTCTCCAAGTCGCCCTGTTCTGTTGTATCTATGATGGTCAACCAGCCATTTTCGGTTGGAAAGAGCACGCAGTCATAGGAGGTCTTGACCTCGTTGTATAGCTTCTCATAAGTGTTTAGCATTTCCAACTCAAAATCTAGGTTCTCCTTAATTATCTTTTTGTCCCAGGGCAGCTTGGGCGTTTCTCCTACGAAATAGACAATGGCGTTAAGCGTGAATCAGTGGAATTGCCTATAACTTTACCTGGATTCTGAGATTCAAATTCAACTATCTTGCGACTGGCATTAGCTGTGGCCATCTTGTGTGGCTTGTCCCAGTTCTTCAGCTTTGCCTGAGCAACGATATTGTCGCGTACTTT